CTGGGCAGGTGTGGGAAGGCAGGATGAGCCGGGCACAGCTGGGCAGAGCCAGCAGAGGCTTCCAGCTCCTCCCGTGGTGGCGCTGGGATGTGACAGCGATGGAGCCGCAGCCTTTCCTTGCTGCCGCCCCCTCCCTCCTGGAACAACGACTCGTTCTCCATTTTGACACCACTCTCCTGCTTCTCCTCCTCCCCTCTGTGCTGCTCCTGAATTTTTCTGTTCCTCTTGGCGTTGTTGGGTTCAGTGCTGGAATCGCGGCATTACAGAGCAGGGGGGATTCTGCTGCTCTCTCCGGAGAGGGCCGGGAGCTCTCAGCCCTTTTGTCTGCCCCTTCCCCTCCCTCTCTCCCACACAAACATCTCCGTGTTCTGATCCTTTACAAATCACTGGCGGCACAACAGAGCCGAGTAACACCAGCGAGTGGGACACGGGGAGGAATCAGAGCGTGAAGATGAGGATGTGGGGGTGGCACAGACGGGGCTGTGCGTGTTGGATCCCACTGAGATCCCTGCCTGTTGCAGGTCCTTCTCTTTTCCCCCTGGAGATTCTGGCAAGGCGGGTTAGGAAGGATGACACAAGGGTGGAAAATGTCCATGGAGCTGAATGGAAATGATCGGAGGTTATTTCATTTTATTCACAGCTGGGGAAGACTTCACCTCTGTCATCTCAGAAATTATGATGTATATTCTGCTGGTCTTCCTCACGCTCTGGCTGCTGATTGAAATGGTCTATTGCTACAGGAAGGTCTCCAAGGCAGAGGAGGCAGCCCAGGAAAACGCGTAAGTGTGGAACCCCTGGAGATGAGATCTGTTCTGCAAGAGCTCTTCACGTGTCCCAGAGCAGGCTGCAGGAGTGTGAACTTTGCTGTGGCATGGGCTGGTTGGTGTTTGCTGTGCCCAAAGTGTTTGCAGTGTTTAGGAGCACCAAGATTCACCACACAGCAGGCAGGGAGTGAGCAGCTTTCCAGGGTGGTCGGTTTGGACCGTGTGGAGATGCTTTCCTGGAATGTCTGTTTTCATCCTGGCCCATTCCCATCTTTCCACACACTTGGCTTGGGTTAGAGCACTCTTTGAACACAGGAAGGCTGGGTGTGTAGGATTTTAGAGCAGGGAAGACTCCGTGTTTGCTCCAAGGAGTTTCCTACTCATCATCTACAGGTGTTTGTTACCTCAGAGATGTTTCCAGGCATTCAGCAGAGGCGAGTTTACCCAAACTGGGCTTTACACTGTGTGCTTTCCTCCCTCCCTCCAACTCCAGGACAGACTATCTTGCGATTCCGTCGGAAAACAAGGAGAACTGTGCTGTGCCTGTGGAGGAGTAGCAGAGGGGAGGCAGCAGAGGCACCAAGGTGGGTGATGAAGAAGTGGTCACTCCTTGTGTCTGGCCACCCCTCAGCTTCCTTGTGCTGGGGCTGGAGACTCCTGGAGTGTGGCTGTGCTCCTCTGGAGCTTCCCCAGTGACCTTAGAAGCCATACAGGTGTTTTTGGGTCTGGGGTGTGCTTGTATGGCTTGAACCCCCAAACCATGCTGTATTTATGCCTCCTTTACATGATGCTGTGGAGTTGGGAATCTTCACTTTCCCCTGCACAAGGGCAGCTGTGCCATGAGGACTGTAAGGGCTCCATCTCCAAAGGAAGCACGTTCTAGGAAGGAGTCTGTGTGCTAAAGATTAAAATCTGGATCTTTTACCCTCCCATCAGTTCCTGTGCTAACTCTGTTGCCACCCTCACTCCGGTGAGGTCCCAGAGGAAATGTCTCCCTTGCAGGGGCTCTGAATTCAGAAGGACCATGCCACACCAGCCAGGTTTGAGGGGGAGCTCTGCGCCGTCGGGAGGAACACGGAGAAGTGTAAATCCTCTTCCATTTGCCTTGGACTCTGTACAGCCTTGACTTTGGTCCTGTGACCCCATCTGAGCTGCCAGCCCAGTTCTGAAGGACTCTTCTGTGGAAGCATGCTGAGCAAAAGGCACAGGGGCGTGGGCAGCACGGCTCCTTCTCGAGTTTCAGTTCCATCATCACCTCAATGGCTTTGTAAATGTTACCTGTCACTTCTTAGCTGCTCTCACCACCACCTTTATTTGCTAAATATGCTACTTGTCCATTGCAGAGGTAAGAGGTATGTATGGCACACTGCTCTGAGCTGCAGGACTGTGAACAAAGCTCTCTTAGGGGGTTATTCCACCACATGCTGTGGCCCAAGCAGTTTTCTTGGTGTTAAAACAGGAAGAATTAATTAGTTAATGAAGTCACTCAGAATTTTAGGCTGTCCATGCACAAGCTGAGTAGGGTGAGGACTGTAATGCACTAGAATTGGAAATGTATAGTAAGAAGGACAGGTCCCTGTGCCATGTTCACACTTTCTTCTGGAGGGAATTGAGAATGAAGTATTCCTGCTTTGGGAAGCAGGATGATATAAGAATCCCCTGTGTCCCTCTCATTTATCAAGTGTCAAAACCCTCATCCCCTTCCACCTGCCTGGCACAGCAGGTTTGCTCCTGGAGTACACAGTGGGAGAAGGAACCTGCAGAGCCACGTCCTGCAACAGCTGGCAAGGCAGCAGGACAAGGCACGGGATCCACCTTTTCCTGGGAAACCCCAAAAATGGAGGCAGCCTCATGCTGGTAGGCAGGAGAAATAAATAGGATGGAAAGCCCTCTCAGGATGGCAGCTCAGTAAAATGGTTGGAGTTTTATAACTGGGATGGTTCTCTGGTGCTGTAGCAGCACCATCTAGAGGGATAGACAGAAAACACCCACTTTTCCCAGTTAATCCTAATTCTCTCTTGAGGTAATTAATCACCAGTATAAATAGACTGAATTCACCCTAAATGATCCTCTGTTGCCCAGGAATCACCTTGGAAATTTCACCTTTCCTATGCAAACTTACCTTTTCTGAGGGTTAAGCTGAGTAAAAATTGTTTTCTGCCCTTTGGTGCAGATCAACAGCTCAACAAGCTGGGATTGGAAGGGGGGGGAAAGGCAGAAACATTGGCCAGGGTGGAATTGTGCTGTGGTGGGGAAGGTTTGGGTTTGTTGTATGGCAGAGTTGTGACATCCCTGCTGCAATGGAGCCTGTGCTGCTTTGCCAGAGCTGACAAATTCTGCTCCACTGACCTCTTTGTAAGTAGTTCCCAAGTGCTCGTGACTCCAGGCATGCTCCCACCCACGGAATCCCCTCTGCTTTGTTCTGCTGCTTTTTATGTGCTCGCTAAAATCACGGAAATTAGCCCATTTGTAAGTCAGGCCCAGGCCACATTTCCAACTGGCACTTGTTCAAAACCCTTTTTTTTAGAGTGGGTGTCAACTTTAGGAAACTACTCCAGTGCAGGCTTGGTAGTAGGATTGCTCCCAAATCCAGAGCCAAGCCTGGCAAGGGGAGCACATTTTCCAGATGAAGCACACTCATAGTCTGGGCACCAGCTCCCAAAATCCTGATATCCAAAAGGGATATCCAAAAGAATATCCAAGCAGTTCCTTTTGAATTCAGCTGGATGTCATCTTTTTCCCTATCCCACTTTGCCTGGCAGAATCCTGAACTCAACAGAGGAGGGACTGGGTTGTAACTCTGGAGTTTCCAGCACTGCCCACGGCATTGAGCCCATGGTGAATTTTAGGACACCTCTCTCCCACTCCAGCTCTGCTCCTCAGTCCCTGTGAACCACGGATAACCCTCTGGTGTCATACTGTTAAATCCAAAAAAGGACTGAACCCTTGAAGAACTTCTTGAGAGCTACCTCAGGTGGTAATGAAGGGCCATCCCCTTGTCCTGCACCTCTCTGTGTCCCACAGGCATCTTCTGCAGATGTTCCTTTTTTTGGACAAATCTTTTACTTTTCCAGTTCCTGCAGACAGAGGTGACCATTGCCACGTGGTGTTCCAAGCAGGAGGAAATGGGGTGAAAAGTTCTGCTCAAGAATCTCACAGGGAAAAAAAAAAGAGTAATAATTTAAAAATTGGTGGTTTTTCAAGACCTGGAAGAAATGGTCCTGGCAAAGACTCTGTGTGTGTTTGGAATGAGAGAGGAGACTCTGGAATAGGCAGGATAATAAAAAGAACAAAGAGCCAGGCTGGTTGTTGGATAGATTTTTTAATTGATACCGTACTTCCATGGTACTAACTACTTACACGGAGTTTGGCTGCAGAGCCTGTACAATTCCTACATTCCAGCACGTTCCAGTATCGTTTTTTAACCGCAGGTTGGTTTGGTTTTTTTGTGTGTGGTTTTTTTGTTTGTTTGTTTGTTTTGTTTTTTTTTTTGCGCACAGCGCAAAGTTTCTGACAGTCGGGACAACTCCTAAAACAAACCCACAATCCTTCCCCCACCCACCCCAGAGTCACCTCAGCCATCAGTCCCCTGCCTCCCGGGCTCTGGAGGGGATTCCAGGTGCTTGTAGGAGCTGCTGCTGTGCCGTGCTGAGGAGAGCAGAGCCTCGTTCACCATCAGCTGCGCACAGGAATTGCAGGGTGCAGGTGGGGAGAACACACCCCAGGGGTTTAGCAGCTTTCTCCAGCCCTGCAGCACGTGGTGGGAGATGAAATCCCACTGGAATGGTGATGTCCCAGAGGTGCCAGGGCCATGCCAGGCTGCTCATGGGAGGTTGTGACGCTGCCACTGCTCTGCTGCTCTTCCCTCCCTCCGTGTCCAGCCCAAGCCAGGTGGGTGCTCCCATCCCTGCACTCCAAGGGCCAATTCCCAGGAGGTGGGCATGTGGAGATGGGGGTGACAGGCTCCACCTCCCTGCTGGATGGAGCTGTAAGAGCTGCTCTCCCAAATCCTAATGGATCAGTGGCTCCAGAACCTGAGCTGCACGTCGGGGTTTGTTCCCTCCCTACTCTCGGGGTTTGGGTCAGGGAAGGTGGCCTTTAACATTAGCAATGGAATTGGCCTAAATGAGTGAGGTAACAGAAACGGCCAGAGGAGGAACCTCCCCGAGCCATGTGCAAATATAATTCCTTCAGCAGAAGGAAGTCCTTTTCCCTACTGAAAAAAAAAAATTAAAATAAAATAAAATAAAACACATTCACTTGAAGAGCATACAGACTGCAGGAGGGGAAGGCAGGCAGGGACAGCACCAGGTCAGACCATCTATGACACAAGTAATGATTGTCCAGCAGCAGAGGTGGGAGGGGACAGGGAAAAGCCATAGCCAGCACTGCAAAACATGTGGGAGAGGAGGAGGGCATGGCATGCCATGGATCCATGCTAAGAGAAGCCCATGCTGTCTGCCTAGATCAGGGAATGGCCTTGATCAGCAGTCACCCAAGACACGAGATTATTTGGCCAATGTGCACATCTAGAAGAAGAGAGGTTTTATGGCACAGACAGACTCGTGCTGGAGAGACTGCAAAGCACAGAGATCAGAGCGTGTCTGGTGGGGAACAGGCTGGAAAATCAGCACAGAACCACCCTGGCACAGGTAACCTGTGACCCACAGAGATCAGAGTGTCCAGTGAGGAACAGGCTGGAAAATCAGCACAGAACCACCCTGGCACAGCTAACCTGTGAGCCACTTCCCTCAGGGACTTTGGTTCCAGAGTCTCTGTTCTGAGCTGTGTTTTAGGTGAGCCCCTGCCAGGTATTTTAAGTGGTGCTGAGACTGAAAAGACAAAGCAGGGTCCAGGTGGCTGTGCCATGGACCGTGTCAGTGGCAGCCTGGCAGAAACCCATGGGAGAGCCCCTTGGAGCAGAGCAGGCAGTGCAGAAAGCCCTGATCTGTCAGAGCTGGGGGTGCAGCAGCTGCCTGGGCAGACAGCACAGAGCTGCCTCCCCTGAGCCAGGAACTGTTGCTTTAAACAGTGATTTTAAGAATGATTTTCTGTGTCATGTGGAACCAGACAGTTCCAGCTGTAAATCAGGAGTTTGTTTCTGTGCTCCTGGGGAGGAGCAGGTGTTGCCTGACTGCTCCTGGCGAGAACAGCTGCTGCAGCACTCCAGAGCAAATCCAAGAGGTCTCAAGTACCCAGACCAAAAGCGTCTCCAGCCACTTTCTGGAAAAGAAATTCTACCTTCTTGCACAAAGGTAAGAAAAGGGTCCTATGTGGGTATCAGGGTGGTGCTGAGAAGCCAAGGAGGGTGAAAAGTCTGTCCTTATCTACACCCAGGTGAGCTGCTGAAACTGTCTGATAAGGACATGGATCAGCATTCCAGGATTAGCATTCCTAAAGGGGATCTCCCAACACATGCCCTGTTATTTCAGAGGCAGTTTTGTGCCTTCAGGGCTCCAAATCCAGCTAAACCTTGTGCTTTGAAACCTTTCCTCTTCCAATCCAGGGTCACACTACACTAAAGTCATTTCCTATCCCGAAGGTTTCTGTTCTTAAGATCAGAAGCATCCAAGCAGGGTCAGGTGTCACCCAGCAGGCAGGGACAGCAGCCAGAGCTGTAAATGCAGCACATGTCACAGCAGATCAGTCATGTGCCCTTCTTCTCTTCTCCCAAAGGACTTGAGGGAGCCAGGAAGGATTTAGGCAGAAGTTGGTATCAGTCAGCATGATTTAATAGCAGTTTTCTGACTGAAGAGTGCCTGAAGTGCAGAGCACCCAAAAAAGATCATCCTGTTAACCCACAGCTAACACCTTCCCACTGCAAGTGCCTTTCTAGCTTTTATTTCCCCAAATTTATTATCTGGAACGTGCATGCCCAGCAGTGGGCAGCTCATCACCTGCAATAATCTGGTTTTTGGTCCTTCCTAGACTTCACAGGCAGCTGCTGCTGCAGAAACCTCTGGTATCTACCCTGGGAATGCCTGGTTGCACAGCAGTTATCCAGGACTCAAACCCACTCAGCCCAGCTGCCAGAACTCTCCGAGATAAGCACTGGAAGGTGTGTATATATCAGAGGTGAGGTTGTGCCAAGATCAGATCAGTGAGGATGTCACAAACTGGTGGATCAGAGCCTCCTGCTCCCCTTTCTCCTTCCTCCCAATAGGAAGCATTTTCCTTGGCAGGAATTAGGCTACAAGATGTTGGCATTACTTTTGCATGCTTGGCTGGAGAAATGCCTTTTAAAAAATTAAAAAAAAAACAAAAACAAACAAAAAAATCCACGATTTCGTGGTTGTTCAGATCCTGCAAATCAAACCCCAGCAGATGTGCAGGTGGAAGGGTCAGCCTGGGAGGGGAAATGCACCTGCTGAGAAAAGAACCCAGGGGGATTTCTGGCACAGGTGAGCAAGGGGAGAAGCAAAGCCCTGATGGTGGAAGCCAGGCTTGGCTGAGAGTGCTGAGGGAAGCATCACCCTCTGTAACCTTATTCAGGCCACTCACTCCTAGAAAGTGCTACTGATCCCTCCAGGAAATGTAATCCAAAATTGTCTCTGGCTCCAGAAGGAATTAACCTGTCAGCTGGGACGGGTCAGGGGCAGCTGATTCCTATCCCAGCCCTCCAGAGGAAGTGAAAACACTCCAAGCTTTTGTTTAAACCCTCACTGTTAGTGCCTTAAGACCTTGCTTTTTTCCTTTTTATTACTATTGTGAGAGATTAAGAGGCAAAAAAGAAGATTGTGGATCCCATCCAACTCCAAGCTAGATTGGCTGCCAAGTGGGAAAAAGAAATAACTCAAAAAACCTCAAAAGCTCCCTCAGTGTGAAGGACACTGCAGCACCAGGTTCTGCTTGGTCCCCACCACCCTTGTGCTCTTCCTGAAGGATTTCACATTGCTGAGTGCCAGGATTAGGTGTCAAACAGGTTCAAAACCCACTTTAATGTGCAGGTAGGACAAATATTAGAGATTGAGATTACTACAGCAGCCTGGCCTGATTGATTGAACAGAGCTTGTGCAGTTCTGTCTCAGGGACCCAGCCTGAGGCTGCAGCTGGAAATCTGCACAGGAGAAAGGATGCAGGAGGAGAAAAAGGGTTCCTTGCCTCTCTAACAGAGGGAATGTGATATTGGTGAGCAACAAATACTGATCAGCAGCATTTATCTGTGACCCTCTCTGATTTCTCTGTCTCCAGGTGGAGACATTCCACATCCCAGGTTTCTCTTTCACACTGTGTTCTTTCTCTCTCCTGGCATGGGTAGGGTGAATCCCAGAGCTTCCTCTGTGTCGCCCTGTTTGGTGCTTGAAATTAAATTCTAGAAGAGGGAAATTCCAGCAGCAGAGGAAATCTGTGTGCTTAGTAATAGTGGGAGTGATTATGAGGGGAAAGGGGACTCTGGTTCAGTCTGCCAAGTCACAGTGGGGGAAAATGAGCCCCAGAAAGCCCTTCCCAGGCCCTAGCACCTCAATTTCATGGTACAGCAGCCATTTCAGCAGCCTCCCTGGGAAAAAATCAGGGAGCAGTACAGTAGTCAGCAGCATTAAATTAAATAAATAGTCATAAATACACATTACTCTCTGGTTTCCCCCAACTGGACCTTGCTTTCACAGTCTGAAATGTCCTTTTGATAGCCTGGCTTCATCCATGCTCCTGCACATGTGAGTTGTGTGGGGATTGCAGGCAGGCTGGGAGAAATCAGCAGGTTATTCCTGCATCCATTGCCTTTGGAATGGATGCCTTTGGAATTGGAAAGTGAGAGCTTGAGAGGGTTTTCCTCAGACTGCACTGGGGATATTCTGTGCTACAGAATGGTGAGAGACCAATTATTCATCCTGGAGGCAATGGAACAGCTACAACTGCACCATTTCCAAACTGGGAATGTGCAGCTGCCTCCCTCCTGCCGCTCAGAAGGTGGAAAAATCCCAGTGTTGGACAAAGTGGGACTCACATTCCCCTAATCTACCTGGCTGGGGAAGAGGCCAAAGCATTTATTAAACACTTGAAGAAGCAGCCTGCATCCCCACGAGTCCCTGTGGAGTTTGTGCATTGCACAGCACAGCCAAGCTGCCCCTCTTCCTCATCTGGCTGCTAATGGAGTCTGGAATTATCCCCCAGAACAACTGGAAGTGCACACTGGCTGTTTGTAGTGCAGCTCTACACCTGGCTGAGTCCCAGGGCTGCACCCCCCAGCTGATGGGGACACCCCTGAGGTGCCTCACACCCAGCTCTGTCCTGCCACCCTCTGATGGGCCCTTCTTCCTTTCCTCCCTTGGTCCCTGTGACCCTTCCTGACCTCTCCTGGATTTTTGGAAGCCTTGCTGCTCTCCAGATGCAGTCACATAAATATCCACAGTGATGGCTGTTGCTGCATAGATACAATTATGTCAATTTTTGCCAGGCAAGGAAAGGAAGCTGCTGTTTTTCCCCTCCCTGTTTTCCCACACCTTTTACAAGACAAGAGCTGGGTGAACAAACAGCAGAGAGATTTGCTGAGCTGGGTAGTGGGAGTGGTTGCAAATCAATCCTAATTTTGGTTTTCTGCTTAAATGTGGGTCCTCCCAGCGTGGTGATTCCAGCACCAATGCAGACCTGCAGCACAGGGACGGCTCAGTGGCAGGGGCCCAAGCACAGAGAAAGCAGAGAACACCTAAAGGGGACACTGGCACAGGAGTGGCTCTGCCCTCCCACACCCCTTGGAGGCAGACACTGCCCTGGCTCTCACTGCAGCATCCACACAGGAGGCAGCAAATCCAAACTGGGGCTCGTGGGAGGGACTGCAGCTCAGTCACGCTCTGTGCTTTGCTCTCTGAGCCAGCCTGGCCACCCTGACAGCAAATCTGTGCTCCCAGGAGGGGCCTGCCAGGGGGATCTGCCCTCCACACACCCACAGCAACTCGCTCTCCTCTCCAGAGCAGTTTAGCAAGGGATTGACTGCGATTGCCAAAACCTCTGTGCCCTGAAGCCAGCAAGGTCAGGGAGGTGACAGTGTCCCCAAAACCTCTGTGCCCTGAAGCCAGCAAGGTCAGGGAGGTGACAGTGTCCCCAAAACCTCTGTGCCCTGAAGCCAGCAAGGTCAGGGAGGTGACAGTGTCCCCTTTAGAGATAAATAGAGTGAAGCAGGGACCTCCATGCGCAGGGAGGGGATGGGGAAGGGCAGGGGGGCCACTCACACTGATGCTTCCCTTTGAGACAACAAAACCAGAACAGACAGACAGACAGACAGACAGGAATATTACAGAGGAGCAGTGCACAGGCCCAGGGAGCAGAGCTGGGCACGGCCCTAAGCACACCCCAGTGCTGGGAGAGCACAGCCCTCCCATACACACACACACCCCCCACGCTCCCAGGGACACTCCAGTTCAGCCAGTGTTGGAGGTCACTCCTTCCCCTCTTTAGGCTTTTTTTTTTTTTTTTTTTTTGCTTTTTTTTCTCTTTTTTTTTTCTCTTAAAATCTGTATATAATATATATATTTATATCTGTATATATATATATATTTATATATATATTTATATATCCTATTTACACATATTGCACACCGTCCTCTGGCCTCCTGCATTCCTGCCTGTCAATGGAAACGTTTCCGTTTCTCCTCTGGATCTGACCCGAAGTCCCGGGACCCGATGCCATTCTGGAGATTTATTAGAGAATCCTTCATCTGCAAGACAAGAGATTTCTCCATTGTGGTGTTACACCAGAGGAGAGAACTTGGGGGTTTCCTTTTCCCCTGTAAAGTGTTGATGGCAGAATTGTGGTTTTGGGAGCAGGGATGTACAAATGGGGACTGGGAATGTGGGGCAGCATTCTGCAAGAGAAGGGCTGAGCAGAGCACAGGGAGTTCTCTCTCCTTAGGGGAAAGCAGCTCACATTTAGGGACTTATGAGGAAGCAGCTCTCATTTCTGGGCTGTGCTCTCAGCAGCCCTGTGTGCTTTTTAGGGAGCACCCCCTGAAATTCTTGACTTTGTGCTGTGAGAGCGTGTCCCCTTCCTCTCTGAAAGCTGCATGTAAATCCAGGGTTCAGCTACAGCCAGTTTGCTCTCCAAGCTGGGATGACAGACATTAGATCCCAAATACGACAGACATTAGATCCCAAATGTGCCAATAGGAGATTTTTGGCCCTGTAGGGTTCTGTCCTTGATGTGCACGGACCCCTCTGATGGGAGAGAGGCACCCTGTGACAGCCCTTGTGGCACCCACCAGCAGCAGGAGATGGATCTAAAGGAGCTGGCACACCTGAGGGGCTGTGCTGGAAGCAGGAGATGCTGAAGGATGGGGAGCAGGACTGGGAGGACACAGTGACCCCCTGGTCACCCCCCCCTGCCTGGAGCTGTGCAGCCTCACCTGGTCCAGAAGCATCACGGAGGATTTGATGATCTCACGCCATTTCTGCAGCTCTGAGTCGTGGTACTTCTGCTGGGACTCCAGCAGCTGGGCCCATTCTGTCTGAGACTGGGGTAACCTGCCACAAAACACAGGCAAGAGTCATAAAAACCACATTGTTTGTACACAGATTTCTCTTTATTGTGAGGAATAGCTGCACTGGCTCTTTTCCCCAAGCCTTTCTCTTCAGGCCCATTTAAACCCCAAAGCAGAACTGAGGGGAGTGGAGTGAGGACAGATGGAAGCACTCCAGGTGCTTGGATGGATTCAGATGCTTCCACAGCAATCGTGGCTGCAACATAAAAATTACTCATGTGGAGCCACCCACATAATTCCAGTACTTGCACATCACACTGTGCAACCAGGATGCAAGTTCTGTACTTAAATAATATTACATTAGTCTAAAAAAACCACCAAGAGCACTAATGAAATATAAAGTCACTTAAAATATCTATAATAATTCAAAGTTTCTATCTGTGGAGAAGCAGCAGGGCTGGTATGGGGAAGGTAATAATTCCCTTTCCTAATGAGGGGAAATGACACAAATAGGGCAAAAAATTCCAACACAGTGGTAGCACATAGCTATGAATGCTTGGAGTTAAACCCAGTGTAGCAAGGGAGCAACTGGGACTCCAAAAAAGGGACACAAGGGGACAAAAACACCTCAGAAAAGTGGATGCAGGATGTTCTCAGCCTCTAAAAATAGAGCAGAGACCATTCAGGCAGGACACATTGCTGAAATCCGGATCCACACCTTCCAAAGCACAAACCTAACAGACCCAGTGCTGTGTGTCCCAGGCCCAAATTCTCCTGTGAGTACAAAGGGATCATTCTAAGATGCTGCTCTCCACACAGAGGGGAGTTTGGCCATCAAAGGAGGGGAAGTGACCACCTCAGCCCAAAACTGCTGAACATTTATTCACAGAGCATCCTCTGTTCAGCTGCAAGGGGAACGCACACAGCCCTTCCACCCTGTTCTACACAGAAGTGAGAGCCCAGAGCCGTGGTGTGACAGGAAAAGCCTCTGGCATCCACAAGGAGCAAGCAGAGAGGCAGCAGTGGGGCTGTGTGTACCTCTCCTGCAGCCTCAGGCCCTGCCACGCCGTCAGTGTCTGTGTGGTGTACTCCAACATCCAGAGCTTGTAGAACAGCATCATGTTGAGAATGACCAGCAGCACCAGACTGCAGAGAAAGCAAGAGAACAGCCAGGTTAGGAGCATTTCACAGCTCACTGCTCGCCAGCAGCACCTGGGACAACACCCAGGCCTTTAGGAAGGTGTCTGTGGCCAGTCCATGCTGTGAGTGGGGATTTAATCTGAGTGAGAAACCAAAACTTCACCTCGTGGAAGAAATGTGTGAGCCAGGAGGACAGACAGACAGACAGACAGACAGGGGTGACAGCTCAGACAGAACAGGCTGGGTGAGTGGATGTGCTGAATGCAGAGAAAGGGAGGGAAATGGAAAGAGTAAAGAGGTAAAAAAAGAGAGAGACAGTACCTGAAACAGATCCTAATGGGAGCAGGGAAGAGAAAAGACGGAGTAGCTGCAGGTTAGAAACGGACTGACACAAGCTGGGCTGAGAGGAGGAGGCTCAGACAGTGCAGGAGGTGCAGGGGCAGGAAGAAAGGAGCAGAGGGAAGAGAGGCAGGAAGGACAGACAGGGATCCGTGTGCCTGCACTGGTGGTGAGCTCCTGGGGACAGCAGGTGGCCGTGTCTGACACACACATCCTGCCTTCCCCACGGCCACCCTGGCACTGGGAACAACCCCAGCCATGCCCTGCCCAGCTCCTCTCACCCCCCACCACACAGGGGCATTCCTGCTCCTCCCCAGGAAGAGATTCCAAAATGCCAGGCTGGTGCCTGGCTCTGAATAGTGCAGTTATTTTGCTGGAAGAATGGCCCACTATGACCAGTTCAGTCAGGCAGATGGCAACTGGCCAGAGGAATATTCTGGAAACATCACAGAGGGCTCAGTGACCCAAGTGGAGCTGTCAGGAGACGCTGGCACAAAGCTTTGGTACCTTTGTGCTGTGTTCTCATCATGACAGCACCTTTCACCACCTCATTTATCACTGGCTGGGTGCTGCTGCAAATCTCTGCATCCGTGTCCCCTCTGGGACCAGGAAACACAGAAAAGAGCTCAACCTGAGCTGTCATTTCAGTCCTGAAATCCCAGCTTCTCCACACCTCTCTAAAAGCTGGGTGGAGCTTAAGGAAAAGCTGAGCCCAAGTCAGAAGAGCCTGGATCACTGCTTTGGACTGTTCAGCTCCACAGCACCTGCCCAGCAAGCACTGCTGAGCCTGCTGCCAGAGGAACAGTAAAAACACTGAGTTTGGGTATTAAACTGAGCCACAGGGATGTGAGGGGCCCATTCCCAGCTCACTTGGAGAGCTGGGACCACCAATCCTGAAAGGTGTGGCAGGAAAGACACCCAAACCAAAGAGTTGCTGCTGCTGAGCTGATGAAATCACTCCAGTCTCTGGTGCTTCAGGTGTTTCTTTACTCATTGTGCAGAAATAATCTCTAAAGAGTTCAGCTCCTTTCTGGCTGCACCTCTCATCAAAATCACTGCCCAGGACCAGACATTAAAAGGTTTTTCCAGACCAGAGGGAAGATGTGACAGAATCCTCACAGACACTGAGCCCTGTTGTGGCAGCTCAGTGACTCCCAGAGAACTTTGCAGTTATGATCCATGATAGCAGCTTGTGTGTCAGTAATTAAATCACTGTTTTAAATTACAGACACACACAGTTTCTATGAGTCATTAAAAAACTGTAAACTGCGTCCCTGAAGTAAAAACAAAATTAAAAATAAAAGGCTTATACTTGTTGAATTTCTTCTCTTGTAGGTATTGGCTCCTCTCCTCTTGAACAGCTGCCTCTGTCCTGATTGTCACTGTCCCAGACAGGTCCCAGACCTGCCTGTAGGACTCCCAGAACAGATCTGCAAAGCCCATGTTTGGCTAAACAAGGGGAAAGGAGAGAAGGGAGCACAGAACTCCAGGAACACAGCTAAACCAAAGGTGTTTAACACTGACTGGGAAGGAAAGCAGAAAAAAATCCTCACTTACACAAAGCTGATGACAAGGAGCAGCTTGGAGACACTCTGCAGGTGGAAGCCACTGGGGCTCTCCTCAGGGATGTGCCGTGTCTGAGTGGAACCTGAGGAGAGGGGATGCATTTGGGATGGGAAACAGGGAAGGATCCTCTACCCACCCCTGCACCTCACCCAAACAACCCCAACACATCCTTGTGGATGTGGTAAATGTCACTGGGACTGACAGTGCTGTAGATTTAATCAGCATATGCAGCTTGATAACCAGGAGGCCTTGGCAAGAGCAAACAGAGCTCTGGGGATTGCAAGGAGATTGGATCAAGTCTGGGTGATGGGAAATAAGATTTTACTAAGTAGAAATGTAAAGTTTGCCTGTGTGATGTTTAAATGACTGTAGTAAAATATTACCAGTGTTCTTACAACAGTATATAAACACATGGAGCTCTCAGTAAAAACTGAATTCTGATCCCCATTCAGTAGTCCCTGTCATGGACACATCCTCCCCACCCTGCTGTGACAAAACCCCTGTTAGTGCCCATCCCCAAGGCTGTGGGGTGTGCAGCTGCTCACCTGCCACGTGCTTGATCCGATGGGCAACGTCCTCATCCGTGGGGGTGGTGACAGGGCTGAGCACCTCCTCCAGGTGTGGCACCCGCAGGTGGGCGTGGGCGCGTTTCCTCCGCCGCACCGTGGATTGCTTGCTCACCTTCTCTTTGGGGGATTGTCTGTGCACCTCAGCCAGGTATGTGCTCTCTGTTTTGGTCAGCTCGCTCTCTGCAGCAACAAGGGGGGACATTAATTTGTAGGGAGAGAGAGGTTAAACCCCTCTGCTTAGGATTTTAGCTTTTATATTTTTCATCCGTTTGTAACCCTGCAGTTCTTTAGTGTAGAACTCTAAACTCCATATCCAGTGTGAGCTGCTGCTCTCCCCTTTTGGGCAGACACAACAAAACAGCTTTTTGAATGAGTCCTGGGAGTTGCAGTGCTGTCACACAGAGTTCACTGGGGGTGCTGGCAGGGACACTGATGGCTTGGAGATCCACCTGCACGGAGCCTTTCATCTGAGCTGTGCTTCCAGCACGGAATCCCTGCCAGCTTTGCAGCCACAGTGATGTCATGCTGGCACCTGGCTCCATTCACCTAAAAGCCAGCTGTGAACCTGTGCCAACAGTCCAAACAACCCAGTTCCAGATGCTTCCAAAGCACAAACAGGGACAGCTTTAGCAGCAGAACCAGAGAGAGCAGCTACCAGGAGCAGCTTCCCTCCTGCAGGTGCAGGTCCTGCACTGA